TTTGTTAGAGTGCTACACTGGAATCACAGGGCCGCAGGTTCGATTCCTGCAGAGGGTCAATATATAGTTGCATTTTTGGCAGTGCTCCTGGGTAGGTCTAAAAATAATCATAAAATTCACACTCGAAATTTCCATCTAATATTAGCAATTCCTGGCTACCTTTCCAGCTTGCTTAATTAATTTAACCGAGGTGAATTTCCTCATCTGAGACTGTGTTCACTATTCCACTAGTTACATGCGATGATTCACACATACTGTCAAAGATACCCTTACCTGAAATGTGTTCCATCTCTGTCAACAAAATATGCACCATCTTCTTCATCAGGCTTCACATCAAATCTCTCAGAAAACATGGCGGCCAACATCGAGTCAGGATCTTTTAACAAAGTTTCAATCGATGTCTTAAATATCTGACCACCAACATTAAGCTTGATATGTTTCTTGAAATGTACGCTGTCTAGCTTCTTTCTCATAACTTCGAACGTCGCTCTCTCCTCCAGAAGCACCGAGGCTTCTTCGTCCATCGTGCATTTCAAGTCTTGAATTGCTTGTTGAGCATCGTCCAGTTTCGCTGGAATATTGAGTTGCTTTCTTTCCTTCTTGCGTGTTTGTTTACTGGATGAAAGCTTCTTCGCCGACATATTTTATGTTACTCTCGAATAGCAGGTTTTAAAATGATCTGGTATGCAGTTTCTTTTTCACACGGCAGATATCTGGTCAGAAAATATAATACCGTTACTTTACTACAATACCACGGCACGAAGCAGGATGCGGGAAGCTTGAAAATTGAAACCGTTAATGTTACTTTCGTTTTGTGATTTACAAGGTGGCTTTTCCCGGAATATTATTCTCCGTTTTCTTCCGTTTCCTTGCCATGCCAATTCACTGATCGCGCATGAAAACTGGACCACAGAGAAGATATATATCTCTTCTCTGTGACTGGATCAAATATTTGCAATCGATATTTTGATAACAACATTTGTTGTAATAATCCATCCTGACTTGCAGATAGCATAGACTCACAAATCATAATGAACGAATTAATGAAAGGGCCTAACAAAAGAGGTAGAGAAGACTTTGAAAATGCCATTTCCGACAATTTAGAGACGCAAAATTTTCATAATTTTTCCGCTCTGTGCCAACCATGGGGGTGCTTCGTTGGAGTTGGGCTCTCTAAGTTTATCAAGCTGGCTCCCTGAGTGAATATGCAAGTACTTAACTGAAGGTTCAGTCTATCTACAGCATAATGTAATGCTGTAATTGCAGTCATATGGGTAGACAAACAACATCAATGTTGGTCACAAAAAAACCCCATCAATTTATAATACTCCGAATCCAAAACATCTGGTGTCATGTCCCTTCCTGCGCAGGGAAGGACATTGTTTAAAGGAATTTTATTGTGATATTTCCCATAAAACCAGGCCAGCACAACACCTTCGATTTTATCAACAACAAGACTTGTCATCCCTTTTTACCAACGAACTCGCTATCCTTATCCAATCCTTCCACGAGCGATGAAACACCCTGCAATTTGTCACCGACTCACCCTCCCATGATTTACCCATATGTGCGGTCCCTGATGGAGATCCCCACAAAATCACCCAGGCGTTGACAGTGCCACTACAACAACTAACCCCTTTACCTTAACCACCGTCTCAAATCGAAATTCCCAGTTCAACCGCCGTTTCCAACTCGCCAAACATGCCCCTTTTATTCCAAATCAACAGTGATGGAAATCTCAGTTCAATCTTGGCACATACATATTTTTCTCCAATTTCTAATCGTTTAAATAGTGAGTTTGAAAGTGGTGAGTTTAAATAGTGAGTTCGCCCCACGCCTGGTGGTGGTGTCCTAGCCTACGTGAATAAAAAAATACCAACTAACCCGTCTAACAAATCTTGACGACGATGGAAATGAAGTTCTATGTCTCCTACTTAAACCGCTCATGACCCCCAGGCCCTATAGTGTAATAATAGTTATTTGTGTGTACTACCCATCTGGACAGACAACCAGGGCCGTAGCTAAGCATGCATA